TACTGTTTTCCAGAGTGGCTGCACCAGCTTGCATTCCCATACATCTAACTTTTTAAGGAACTACAAAACTGTTTCAAAATTGGGTGCACCATTTTACTTTTCCACCAGCAACATGTCAGAGTTCTAGTTACCCCATGTCCTCACTAATACTGTAAGTCTTTTTAATTCAGCTGTGCTGTAATTTTAACTTGGAATTCCTTTTTTTTTTTAAAGTTTATTTATTTTTGACAGAGAGAGACAGAACATGAGCAGGGGAGGGGCAGAGAGAGAGGGAGACACAGAATCGGAAGCAGGCTCCAGGCTCTGAGCTGTCAGCATGGAGCCTGATGAGGGGCTCGAACTCACAGACTGCGAGACCATGACCTGAACCGAAGTCAGATGCTCAACCAACTGAGCCACCCAGGAGCCCCAACTTGGAATTCCTTAATAACTAATACTATTGAACATTTCTGCATTACTTATTTGCCACCCATACCTATCCTTGATGAAGCATCTGTTCAAATCTTTTGTCAGGCACTGTTCTTAAGTACTGAGGATATAATAATGATTGGTTTCAGCTCCCAAGGAGCTCATGGTCTAGCAAGGAAGACAGATTAGCAAGCAATTACAATAAAATGTGCTAAATTTTACCAGAAGAGGATACCAGAGTATTTTTTTTAAGTTTATTTATTTATAACCTCTACACCCAATATGGGGCTTGAACTCATGACCCTGAGACCAAGCACCACATGCTCCACAGCCTGAGCCAGCCAGGGCCCTGAGAATACCAGAGAATTAGGAAAAAATTAGGGGTTAGAGGGAGGAAGGAGGCTTACTTGTCCTAGGGGTTGAGAAGATGACTCTGAGGAAATGAAGTTTAAATCCAGATCTCAGAGATGAGTTAGAAAAGACTGGTGATCAAGGAAGATAGAGATCCTGGTAGAAGGATGAGTATGCGTGAAGTCTTCCAGGTGAAAGTAATATAAGGTGCTGAAATTAGTTCCATATAGCTGGAGGGCAGAGTGTAAAACAATGAGTGGAAGAGCAAGAGTCAGATAATAAGATGCCTTAGAAATAAGGTAAAAGTGTTTGCACTCAAGAAAAATCTAAGGACAACCAGAACCAAAGTTGGGATAGAATAAGGTTGGGTTTGCGCTGGAAAGACCACTCTGATGTGCGAACAAAAGGACTGAGCGAGGGCAAATGGAGGCAGAGACCAACTGTGAAACTAATCTAGTCCAGGTGAGAGATGATGTGAGTCTCAAAGCAGTGCAGAAGGAGAGGAACAGATAGCTAGATGGCTATTTAGATGTTATTTAAAAGATAAAATTAACAGGATTTGGTGACCCAATGTGGAAGAGACAGGAACAAAGAGTAACTTCTGGTTTCTGGTTCAGACAACTGGCGGTGCCATCTACATAGCTGGGCAAGGCCGAAGGAGCAGTGGTGAAGATGATAAATTTCATTTTGGATGTGATGTGTCTGAGGTGTCATCGACACATCTAAGGAAGCATTGAGTAGGCCGTTGGATATAAATGCTTATAGCTCAGAAGAAAAATTTCAGCACAAATTTAAGCTTGGGTGAGGCTGCCCAGAAAGCCTCTGTAGGAGAAGAGAGGAGCCAGGGCCCAGCCCCGAGGAGCAAAAGCAATTAAGAGATGTGTCTTCTTTATTTCTACTTTTATCCATGCCATGCCTTGCAGCCCATTCCTTTACCTCCCAAAGGCCATCTATTCTTCAGGGTCCCATGAAGTCCCATTCCTTCCACAAAGTATCTCTAAATACCCCAGCTCCAAAATGTATTCAGCTCTTTAACATATAACCTGGAATTTATCTAAAAGTTGTTTAGTAACAACTTTTTTTTTTTAAGTTTTATTTATTATTTATTTTGACACAGAGAGAGAGAGAGAGAGAGAGAGAGAGAGAGAGAGAGAGAGAATGTGTGGGCCTGCACAAACAGAGGAGGGGCAGAGAAAAGGAGAAAGAGAATCCCAAGCAGGCTCCAAGCCATCAGTGCAGATTCTTATGTGGGGCTTGAACTCCCAAACAATGAGATCATGACCTGAGCTGAGATCAGGAGTCAGACGCTTAACCGACTACACCACCCAGGTGCCCCAACAATTTTTTTCTTTTTAAGATTTTATTTTTAAGTAATCTCTACACCCAACGTGGGATTCTGAGATCAACTCACAGCCCTGAGATCAAGAGCTGCAAGCTCCACCAACTGACCCAGCTAGGTGCTCCAGTAACAACTTTTTTTTTTTTTAATGTCATTATTCATTTTGGGAGAGAGAGAATGAGCACACAAGAGGGAGAGTCAAGAGAGAGAGAGAGACAGAGACAGAGAATCCCAAGTGGGCTTTGTGCCAACACAGGGCTCAATCTCACAAACTGTGAGATCATGACCTGAGCCGAAATCAAAAGTTAGACACTTAACCAACTTAGCCACCCAGGTGCACCCCCCCACCCACCCCAGTAACAACTTCTTAAGTTAACAATCTCTCCAGCATTATTACAGAAAACCTGCCATAGCAAACCTAGCTAAGAATCAGATGCCCAGATTTGTTACAATATCAAGTCACCTAATTTTTTTTTTTTAATTTTTTAACATTTATTTATTTTTGTGAGACAGAAAGAGATAGAACACAAGCAGGGGAGAAGCAGAGAGAGAGACAGAGGGAGACTCAGTATTCAAAGCAGGCTCCAGGCTCTGAGCTGTCAGCACAGAGCCCGATACGGGGCTCAAACTCACGGACCGCAAGATCATGACCTGAGCTGAAGTCAGTCGCTTAACTAACTGTGCCACCCAGACACCCCCACCTAATTTTCAAATGAGTTATAACACTGGTCGCATAAGATACAGAGGGTACAAGATCAAATGAAATGATACAGACAAAAACACTCCAAAGAGAACAAGTACCATATTTATATAAGACTTACAGACGCTTTCCCTTATTTTCTCTACCTTGGTGCCTTGGTGACTGTCAAGTAAAAGCAAGTACATACTTAATTATTTTCACCTACTGTATCTGCCACTTACTCACCAAGCAAAAAGAGCATGAAAAATCTGCAGTAGCCTCTGATAGCATGAAGACATTATGTGGTACTCCTGAACTTTCATTCCTGGTCCATCAACTACACTTTGATTCTCAGCAGATAAGCACTAAAAGGGAAAAATGTTTTTAGGACAGTTGTTTCAGCAATTGCCCTCATTTTCCTTCAGTATTTTTCAACCAAAAATGAAATCTCTTGTTCACTTTGTAATTTCTAAATTTCTATAATAATAAGATAGGCTGCTGACCTGAAAATAGTTGTGAATGTTCTCCAGATGGTTACACATTGGAGTCAGCAGTTGAACAACATTATGTACAATTTGTTGGGCAGATCTCTGATGGAGATGTGAGAATCCAATATTTCGGTGTCCTTTACTCTATAATAAATTCAGAGTTACTGGGGAAGAAACTGCTGGATAGCTTCTCTGAAACTAAGAATTTGTTAAGGAGTTTACTCAGACTTACGTCACGAGGTAGAAGTAGACAGAAGAAAGTGGTTATGTGCCCAAAACTCTTTTTGGACAAAGAGATCTTGTCCCATCTTCAAATTACACTGGCTTTTGTAGAATACAAATTGTTTGCAAAGAATAGACCCATAATTACTGAGATAAAGCTCACATAAAAATAGAAATCACTTAGGCTGTAAAGACCATTAAATAGTAAATGGTACAAAAATGAATCAACTGGATATATTAAGTTTAAATGTTTACACCTAAACCTTTCATGTTTTGTTGTTTGAATCACCCAACTGCTTTATCAGATGCTTTGTGCACATCTGTACATTATATACACATGTGAAGTTCTGGCTTTCTCTAGATAGCCAACTACTACATTGAAGGCTTGGGCACGGGCTTAGTTTGGGAGGCTTTTATTTTTTTATTTTTTATTATTTTTTTTTTTTTAATTTTTTTTTCAACGTTTATTTATTTTTGTGACAGAGAGAGACATAGCATGAACAGGGGAGGGGCAGAGAGAGAGGGAGACACAGAATCGGAAACAGGCTCCAGGCTCTGAGCCATCAGCCCAGAGCCTGACGCGGAGCTCGAACTCACGGACCGCGAGATCGTGACCTGGCTGAAGTCGGACGCCTAACCGACTGCGCCACCCAGGCGCCCCTTGGGAGGCTTTTAAAACAAAACCTAAGTAAAGAAAAGGATTCAGGAATGCTCCAGGCATTTAGAAATATGTACCTTGTTTGAGGTAATTTTTTGATTTGTTTCAGAGTTCCTTTCTAAATCAAGGTGAATGGTCTGGAAATGAGGCTGCCAGTCACGGTACCCAATGACCCAAACACAATGCCAGAGAAAGTGACAACTTATTCACTAAGATCTCCTTGTTGCCAAATTCATTAAGGCCAGGGCCTGTGCTTCTGCCTATACGAACCTTGAGGAAGGGGATTCTCCTGGCAACAGAAGGTATCAGCATATTCTCCAGCTTCTGGGAGAGATCTTCCAGCAAGAAAAGTAGCTCAGGGGGCTGAAGTTGCACAACTTCTGTAGCCTGTCATAAGGAGGAAAGAGAGGATAATTCCGAGCATGTCCTAGCCATCTTTTCTGGGGAGCACATTTCATGTTTACTCTTCCCAATGGGTGAAGAATCTGACCATTCCCAAAAAAGGGGTAAATTTCCCTACCTCATATAAATGGCTGTTGTGCTCTGTCAACAAATCATAAAGTCAAGAATTCCCAAAGTAAAACAAATTTCAAGTTATTAAAATAAGAATCCAAGCGAGCACAGTTTTAGAAGACATACTTTTTCTCTAGAAGTAAATGTCTCTGTGTATCCTTCCAGTTGTGGCCTCGAGGTACATTTCCTAAGTACCTGGGGCAAAAAATGACTAATTCAAGGGAATTTCATTTTTCTCTGTTTACTTCCTTCCATATTTTCTTTCTGCTAATGTTCTGCTACTACTAACTCTGGACAGGATCCCTATAAGTGTATTACACTACCAGAAGCAGAATGAACCAAATACAGTCTCACTTCAAACTATTCAAGCTGATGTACAAAGACTGGGGTTGGGAAGGGGTGATCCTATCTCTACTTTAAAGGAGTATACATTTTTCTAAAAACCTATGGTAAAAAATTTCATGATATTCCTCTTTTTACTTGTTTTATTTATTTTTTTTTAAGTTTTTATTATTTATTTTGAGAGACAGCAAGAGAGCACATAAGTGTGAGCAGGGGAGGGACAGAGAGAGAGGAAGAAAGAGAATCCCAAGCAAGCTCTGTGCTATCAGTGCAGAGCCTAACTCCTGACCTGAGCCAAAACCAAGAGTCACACACTTAACCAATTAAACCCCTCTTTTTCTGAACCTGGAGAAACTACTCTGGTGAAATCCCTTATCAAAAGTTACCTTTTCCGTGAAAATGTCCTCTACTTCCCAGTTCACTATAAATAGCATTCTCTCCTCAGAGTTTCACTGGTACTTGGTTCAGACCATCAATATAGCAGACACTGCTAACTATGTGTGCTTCCCTTATTAGATTGTGAGCTATTTGAAGGCTAGCATTATGCTGTATGCTCTACTGAATTGCCAACATCTCGATTAGTGGCAAACACAAAAAAAACCTTGATAAGCATCTGATGGAGGCTGAACAAATGTCATGAAAGAGTGAAAACAGCATTAACCTCTATAAACCAGAACAGTGCTGCTCTCCAAGAATAATCTAAAAAGCTTATTATTTGTAACCTAGGGTAAGGATCATCTCTTTGGCATGATTTTTCATAATTACCTAACACACTGTAAAAAACTTAGATTTATAAACATCTAGATGATGAGGGGGGTGCCTGGCTGGCTCAGTTGGTACAGCATGTGACTCTTGATCTCTGATCATGAGTTCAAGCCCCACATTGGGCCTAGAGTTTATTTTTTTTATTTTTTATTAAAAAAAAAATTTTTTTTTTAAATATTTATTTTGAGAGAGAGACAAAGTGTGAGCA